AGACAGACAGACAGACAGACAGACAGACAGACAGACAGACAGACAGACAGACAGACAGACAGACAGACAGACAGACAGACAGACAGACAGAGGTGAACCTCAAGAAATCTCTTAAAACAACCTCCCGCCAAAATCGGATTTGAACTAAAGTCGCCAGCACCACGCTGGCCATTGTCTCACCAACCGAGCCAGCGAAAACACGGAACAATTTCCCTGCGTTGTCTGGAAGAGACAATAAAACTCCCTAACTAGTCTGTGCAAAAATCGGTGCCGAAGCCAACAGAACGGTGCATTGAAGCGCATGACAAAATAAATTCCTGCTATCAGCACCAAACACCATGTGGTAAATTACTCTAGACACGGCTTGAAAACGTTGTTTATTTAGCACTTTATAAATTATGGAGCACCTGAACAGCAAACGAACGCTCCATTTATTAATTAACACTTCGGGGGAGGGGAGATCACTCTCCTCAAGAACAAATATTGAATTAGAGTAGTCTCCCGCTCTCTATCACCTTGTGAGTAGTGAGAGTGCGTGCGTGCGTGAGTGCGTGTGAGTTCTCACCTGTCTGAGACAGAAAGTATTTCACCACTCACCTTTCGGTGGCGTGTGGAGGTTCTGTTGTTGTTGTCCATTCTTTTTCTTTTTTTTTTCTGGTGAATTTTCCCACCTTATTTTCTTCGTTTTTCGGTTTGGTACTGGTTTGGAGTTCCATGTTCTTCAAATATTTTTTTTTTTTTTTTTTTTTGCTTTTACTATCCTATCAAACACTGATGGATATAAATGTATCTTCTACTATAAAAACATGTTACTGTTATTTCTGACGTCTTCTTTCTTTTTATGTTAATTGTTGGTCTGTAGCAACATATTTCCTCATCTCGTCTGATTCTAGATGGGTTATAGGTGTAATCAGATGAAGGTGGCGGGATTTTGTGGTGTTTTTTGTGTGGGTTTTTCTGTTTCGAACAAAATCAGGCCGATAAAGTTACCCCACGGCGCTGGAAAGGCGATCGAGAAATACCCCTCGGCAAGGGGCATGAGCTGATTTGTTTTCTACGTCATAGGTGCTAGGGTTATTCCAAATTTGTTTGCTTTCTTTTCATCCACAGCACACCGTAGCGTATAGGATAGATATCGCCTTTGTTGAGGGTTTCGCCGCGGCAGAGAGAGAGAGTCGATTGGGTGAGTAGATCTCGTCAATACTTTAAACAGCTGGTCTATTTTGAGAGTTAGTTATTATGTTACATTCTGGGGAATAGGTAAACGAGCAGTTTCAGGAACACGTCTGTTTTTGTTGTTGCTGCTTTTGTTTCTGTTTATTGTTCCTGTTTTTTCCCCTTTCCTGATTGTCTCTCTCCGCGATTTTGTCCCCAGATGGGTGGTTGGTGGATGTTTTTTATTTACCGTTTCTTCTTATTTTTCAGTATTATATATAGTTTTATACTTTTCTGAATAATTTGAGCGGGTGGTATGAAGTCCTACTTCTTTACTTTCCATCTATTGTTTCTGTCTATCAGTCTTACTTTTCTCCAACTCTAATTGACTATTATTGTGTCGATATGCTTCTCTTTACTCAAACGATACCCCCCAAAAAAACAAATCAACTACCCCAAACAGACCCAACAACCAAAAAACAAACAAACAAAACAACAACAACAAAAAAAAAGCATAATTTGAGACAAGGCGGTTAGAAGGGAAGGTTGTCGTATATTGCGATAAGAATCAACTTACTCTAGTCTCTCTCTCTCTCTTTCTCTCTCTCTCTCTCTCTCTCTCTCTCTCTCTCTC